CGCGAAAAAAAAAAAAACGAACCTTCTTCGCCGCCATCGTCGTCGCCGGAGTTAGTCGAATTTTTTTTCGGAATTTTTCGAAGTCCAGAACCGGGAGAGATAATGTATAAAAAAAAAATGAATTTTTTTTTTATTAATATAAAGGGCAAAATCGACTTTTGGAGGGGCAGTAAATATCGAAAAGGGGGGCGGTAAATATCAACACCCTTGATTAAACAAGTTCTATGTTCTGTTGTTTTGCACGTAGATAGAATGGGTCATCATTGGGTGAACAGAAGAAGATGATTATATCAGATTGTTGCGAAACAAGAATTAATGACTCACAACCTACATAGAAATGAACACCCCATGAGAACGGTTGTAGTGTCAACAGTACAGTTGGTCTGACTAATTAGTTGTACTAGTACATTTATGTATTGAATATGATCCCAGAGAGGAGAAGTTTGTTTTATACTGATCGTCGTAAACGAACTAGACCTCAGTTAATTACTGCGTTCTCTTAACCGTATGATGTTAAACATACATTAAACATACATATATATATGCATTTTATATTACTCTGATTCACTTGGGTGATGTTCAGTTCGCTGGATTAATATTCTTACTGTCTTGAGTAATATTGTTGTATGTATGATGTGATGTTAAGATATTTATCGTCGCCGTGTACGTTTAGTTTGATGATGTCCCCGAAGTGAGTTTTTGAAGGATTGTTATGCTAAACCCTGCAGGTGGATTAAATTCCGACATAATAATAATGTGATGAACGAGCGCTAGCTTCGGTAAAATAAATAATATATTAATTAATTCTTAATCGTCAGTAATCGAACTAATTAATGGACATTATATCTTACACATGGGGAGGTAATTCGGGTAATTATTATTGGAGTCTCAAATGTAATTTGGGCTAGGAAAAAAAGTGCAATAATATTACGTTAGTGGACCGTAATATTATTTAAGTAATTGGAGAGTGGGCCAGGCCCACCGTTAGTCCATTACTTAAGAAGCCCTATTCCTATTCTCCTAAAGGTACCTATTGTAGCTCTATATATACATCATTAGTCTCATGGAAAAGAGAAGAAGAGATCAAAATTCTCATACATGTGTATTATAACACGCCGCGTATCTCTCTCTCTCTCTTAGCCGACGTACCACGACCCTAAGGCTGAGGATCGCCGACCCCA